TCTGTGTATGCCTCTTTGGTCTGCCCTTTTGGCTTGAGCATTCATGTGGTCATGTTTTACCGGAATTAATGGGAAGCAAGTAGACAGTGACTTTGGGAGTGCGGGAAGGCCAGCTCTGAGGGATGCCGTACCCCAGGCTCTTGCAGTCCATTTTGCCAGGTCCATGTCTTGGTGACTGCCTTTGGTGGGATATGGCAGCCGCTGTTGTTTCCTTCTCATGGCCAAGAGCTCCGCTTCAGCTGGCTGAAATGTTTTGGGGGTTGCACAACTGCTGCTGGAACATTGCACTCTAAACACAGTAACTGTTTGGGACAGAGCCATGATTCATTGTGGGGCCCAGGGCTTGTGGTTCAGGAGCAGAAATGGTGCCATGTGGATCAGCTGGACCACTAACCTGGTAGAGCTGCTGTTAGACATTTGCAAGGAGCTCTTCATGACATACAACTTTTCTGCAGCTTTGCAAAAGCCTGCTTTAATCATTGCCAAGAATGGATGTAGCCAGGAAATTGCAGTTTACTTGTGCCCACTTCATGAGCACAAACCATCCAAGGTTCTCAAATGAAATGGAATCATTTTATTGATAATATTTTTAATTTGCCTGCCAGAGCTGAAGCCTAGGCATTACTGTGGAAAGCAGTTCATGTGGGCTTAGCAATACTCTGAGAATTAAAGTGTTCGTGCAGCTTGAGGTCTGTCTGTTCCTGTGCTTACTGTTTCTTGTTAGCTGGCTCTTGGCATCTTTCTGAATCATTCTTTGGAGGTGTTTCAGCTCTCTTCACAGATTTCTACCACATTTTCATCAGTTAGCTTTAAAAAAAAACCCAACAAACTAACAGCATGTGCAGTGAGGAAGCCCTGTATGGGTAATACCAGAAGTTTACCATCAGTTCACTTTTCCTCAATTGCCATTTTTCCTTCACCTCTTCCCCCTTTCCTGCTGGCTAATGGCCTACACTATTTCCTGAGTCATTTCACAACACTAGGATTAGGAAAAGCAAACAGTGTCTTTAATAATAAGCCATTTAAAAATTACATTTGAACTGAATTGTACTTAGGAACCTTACTTTCAAAATGGTGGATAGTTAGAAGGAAAATTTCTGGTCCCACAAAAGTCAGCATGACTTTTAGTATGTGAGGGCTTTTGAATTTAGAATATCTTCAGAGCTGGCAGTATATTTTAAAATACCAGTATCTGAATTAATCTCAGAGTTTTAGCACTAGATGAGCATGAGGTCCGTTTGCATGTTTAGTATCATTTTATTGTCTGTTTGTAAAATACTTTTTATTCACAAAACTGAATGTAAATAAGCATTAGTAAATTTTTGCATGTAGCAACAGTATCGAAAGTATTTATCGTTGTGAAAAAATAAAAATTATTTATTTAATTTTAGATATTTCATCCTGTTATATTTATAACCCAGTAAATTTCCTTTTAAAGCGTATAGTACAGTTTTTGAAGTGCCAAGAGGCACTTATGCCATACTCTGATATTTCATTTTCATGCATCTGTGAAGCTAAACCTGTGAAGTCTGACTCTTGTGTTCTACACAATCTCCATTTTTATGAAATGGGAATGCAAAGCAGAAAAAGAATTAAGTATCCTGAATATCAAGTATTAGGATTTGGCCCCTGGTTAATGTGTACTCCACATGGCTGAAAAGGAACAGCTAACTTTTGGTTACTGTGTACTTCATACTGGCCAGTAAATATGGAACTAATATTCTGACATTTCAGCAATTTTCAGCCTTATCTGAACAGCAAACAGTTTGCTTCAGGTGGCTTCACCAACAAACATTGGTAGAGTGGCCATGATATATATGAACAGAAAATAAAAGCGTAGGCAATGCTTCCTGTATATTGTCCTCAGCACTGATAGGTATTGTGTCATTCCTACAGGTACAATCACAGTGTAATTCTGAAGTACATATACATTAAATAGATAATTTTTCTCTAAGCAATTTTCATTCTGTTAATGCAGTTTTATTCAGACAGTGGAAGCCATTTAATGCCATGAATATTCTCTGTTGTTTCTATCAAAGGTAAAAATGATACTTGTATGTGTTAGTTTGGAGCATTAACATTTTTCTCTACATGGAGGTCCCAAGGTAGAGTTGAGTATCCCGATATTATGCCAGATTTTTTTACTGATGTAACTCTGTGTAACTGCTACCCATTGGTTTGAGTGCAATGGCTTCAGTAGACATGACCTGGGGATGCAGTTTGGTATACTTCACATAAAATTCACTTGTTTATCAGTGTAGTTGGAGCACAATAAAGTTTATAAACTAGACATGTGTTGGCTATAGGCTTAGGGAGACATAATGCTATTGTTTGTTCCACATGATCTAGGGAAAATCAGTCTTGAGAAATGGTCTTAGGAACCACTTGGTTCAGAGTTATATGAGGATATCACCTACATCTTACTTCTTAGGCAAATGCTCTGCCTTAAAGGGATATGTGCCATGCAGGCAGAAAAGGCAGCAGTTAGTTGAGAGAATTAAGTAAAATTCCCAGGAAAGCCAGAAGCATGATTTCCATCGACTTGAGCAGAATTAGTGCCAAGGTCTCTACAGTTTGCATGATGATGCTGTGCTAGAGCATTAAATCATTGCCAGCAACCTCCATGGAAATATGTGTCTTGTTTGGAGTTTCCTTAAGTGAAATGTCTCAACTTTGACCCTGATCTATCTCCTGACCTTTATGCTTGTTGAGAGATTTAGTGAATGGAGAAAACCTATAATTTCCTATTATTCTACCTTTATTTGCAGGAGCATGCTATCTATCTGAAGCAATAGCTTACTCAATTCTGATTTATCCAGATATCCTCTGGCTGTATCACATACCATTATGGGCACCACATTATCAAAAAAGAGCAAGGAACTGAAGAGGGTTAGGAAACCATAACAGGGAACATCTAGGACTGGCCAGCATGTCTGACAAAGATTGTATAGCATGGATAAGGTGCTGGAGCAATGATTAAAGGGAGTAGGGAATTATGACAGCCAAGGAATATTTAAGATGTGTGAAAAGGAAGCAAAGGAATTGAGTGTGTCACCTTCTGTATACCAAGTTGTATTTTTAGCAGTAGAAAGTTCTACCTGACTTTTAGGGGAATTTGATAACGGCATGAGGAATGCGGCTTCCAAGGAAGGGAGGAAAAGCTCTTCACCTGGGAGTTTGGGAACTGCAGCATATAAAACATTAGCAGCAGGTAAAAGATACTGTCAAGAACAAGTCCTCATGTGCAGGAGCATGGCAGAGATTATCCAGCAGGCCTTTACCTTCTCCATCTCCTGTGCTTCTTCAGTTAGTCCAATTTTTTCCAACTTATGCGCCCTACCTCTGGCATTGAAGCCCCTTGCATATGTAAGATAGGTAATATTTGGCTTCACGTTTGTAACTGTTTTAAGCTCCTTAGGACACAGTTCCACTTTTGATGGTCTTGTGTAGAAGAGAAGCTTTTAGAACATTAATGCCTGATGTAAATAATTCCTTTTTGTACATGTTTTGCAAGCATGCACCTCAAATGTAGGCAATTAGTTCCTATTTGAGTATATTTATATTTTATTAGAAATAGCAGTGTCAATGAAAAAATCTAGCAGTAAAACACTTACCAACTTGTAATTATAGTTGGAATTTTCACCTAAGCTTGTATGAATTCAGATAAAAAAGATAGGTAAATATTTTAAAACTCTGTAGAGTTGGGCTTCTGCAGCAATAATTTATTGCTTTGGAAGATCAGCAGATTTAACAATCAGAAAACTTATTACAATACTTGGAAACCTAATTTAGGGTGATCTTTATTTTTAATTCCAGTTTAAAAACCTTTTAAAAATAATAACATGGCTTAGATAGATTTATTTATCTATCTTTCTTCCTGATTATTGATTTCTTAATTTTTTTTTATCTAAGTATGCAGTGACTTTGGTTTTATTTTTTTTAAATCAGGTTATTTCTAGAGATTCGGACAAGCTACAGTACAGGGTCTAGAGCTGTTTATTTCTTGCCTAAACCAAAACAGCAATGTGGCACACATGTTTTGATGCTGATCACATTTTACAAGCATGCAGCTCTAGCAAGCATGATGTATCTATTTTCAAAAGAATAAATATTCCAAGTTTCATAGTTGACTAGTACAAGCAGAAATTAGAAGGTAATTAAGATTAGTGGAAAAGCCTATGAGCTTTATAGAAAAAAAATAAGGGATTATTAGATAATGAAGACCTTTGCAAGATTTGGAAGTACTTTTTAGATGTAACAGAGACTTTTGATTCATAGATTCAAAAGATTCTATAGAAAGTTTACTAAATATTATCTAATTCTGTGAGGTGATTTTGCATTTTTTTTATTGTATTAAGCAGACCATTCTTCAGCAAGTGGTTTATTTCAACTTAGAGCACTTTCCCAGCAAGAACAAGTTTACCATCAGGATAGCAGAATCAGGCCCTGGCCCTGTAGTTTGTGCCCGTAGAGCTCAGCTGGATCATCTCATTGCTATTTCTAGAATTTATTCATAAAGGTTTGAGTACTAATAACATCATTGGAGTACAAGCAGAAGAGACAGGATTTGCTTTTAGATTCTATTTTTCTAGGATATCATGCTTACTAGAGTTATTTAAAATCACTTTGTCAGGTGCATTATACTCATTATTTCAACAATATATTATTGAAACAACACATTCAATCCCAATATTTAGGAGAAAACCCCCCTAATTATACCAATTACAGAAGTAAATTTCAAATCTGCAGAGTTTCATTCTTATGACAAATATATTGGGAGTTTTGCATATTGTAGTTAAGCTACACATGTAAAATACCCTTGCTAAATTAAAGAGCAATTACTTGGTTTATCATTGTTTGTCTTAAAAATATCACCATCCTGAAAAAAGGAAAAAAAAGTTGTGGGGCAGGACTTTACACACTGACTTTTTGGAGGACTGTTGTTATGAATATCACCTAAGCTCAATGGATAATCAATTAGATCTATGCTTTCTTTGCAGCTCTTTCCAAACACTTTTTTCTCCGAGCCCCGCCATTCTACTCAGCATGCTGTGGTGGGTCCTGTCAGCACCCTGCATCCCCCACTGCTTTTCCAAGTAAGTTTTTATGCTTCATCAGTAATGCTTGAGTTATTCTGTAAACCAAAGCAGCAGGATTTAATGTGTTCTGGAAAACTAATTGGTGATGCAATGGCAGCAGCTAATTCCTTAGTAAAATCACAGCAATCCTATTCAGAGGGTTTCCAAAGATTTATCAAACTTAAGTACACTGTGCAATTGTGAGAGGTTTCTAATGGCATTGAGACACCCAGACAGAGCTAACCTAGGAAAGCTCCTTGTTTTCATTTTGCTAGAAAAGATTCTTTAAAATCAGTAGGTCTTTTAAAAATCTGTGTCAATAAACATTTGCAAATAAGAAAAGAAAAGAGCTGAAAGATCTTAAAATGGATGCTGCATTTTAATGTCTGCTAGGGATAAATTATGATTCAGGAAGCCCTAGCATTATTTAAATAAAACAGTCATTCTTTTTGTAGCAGTCAAATGCATGCACATGTTTAATTTGTTTGTCTTTTTTAATTATAATGTAAAAAATTGAAGAACTAAGTTGAAGAGAATTTTGGCCAGTATACACTGTATGTTCTGGATTAAGACCTGGAACACACTTCCATTTAATCCAAATCTAAATTTAACCTTGATTGGGAAGTTTGCTTGCCTTAGTGTAAGAATGGACATTCACGATTTTACATGCTTATGGCTCAGGAATACAAACAGAAGAAGCATTTCCTTGTCCTTCAAAACAGAGAAAAAGCACAAATTGTGTGTCAAATCCAAATGAGAATTGGGGTTTATGCATGCTGTAGCATATACTTTTTTATCACAGTTGCATTCAAACCCTTCCTGACTACATGCATGCGTTTTATGAATGTTTCAGAAGGGCAGTTGCTAAGTTGAATGATTCTTGACAAGTGAGGCAGCAAATGCTGGCAGTTTAATGAGCTGCAAGTTTCTGAGCACCTCTTTAGGGGGCTGACACTTTCCCACAGAGCGTTTTACATGGCCCCGGCTCTCCCACAATGGCTGACAGCACCATGACCAATCACCACTTTCACTTTACTCATCCACACGCGACCTCACCACAGTTTTTCACTGTGCAGATGAACTTTAGGAACCATTTCACATTGAAAAGGCCTGGGCAAGGGTCAGTTGCCCTTTTGTATGGCCATAAAGCAATACTCTATGTGCCAGTCTTTTCTCCTGTCTCACATTCCAAGAGATTTTCTGGACGCCATTTAAAGCACTTGACTGAAAAATAAAGCAGTGAATGAAACTGACTTTTATAGACTCATTCTAGCTCATCTTCCCATATAACCCTGTCTACCTGAAAAGGGATTTAGTGGATGAGCTGAGTGTATACAGGGACTTGCTGAATACATAGGCCCATTATCAACTGTGGGGATTGTTTATTAACCAGGACTGATACACTACTATTTTGGAAGTGACCTATTAATTGTCCATTTAACTAGAATGTATTGAATTCAAATGAAAAAATGGAAACCATGACTAAAGCTTTTACTTGCTCCTTCAAGGTGGTCTCTGCCATGAAGGCAAATGCAGATTGTTCCACAGATTAAGAGGACATTTATCACTATATATTAGGATACAAAGAAAAGACTTTAAAAAAAAAACAAAGCAAAACAAAAATCAAACCAGCAACATAGGAAATAATTGGTAACAGATTCACATTTATGTCAGCAGAACACTGAACCTCTTGATGCACGTTCAGAGCGACAGGCTGCAAGCTGACTTATTTCATTTTGATGGAATTGTTGAAATGTATGAGCAACTGCCTACCCAGCCGTACTGAAAAATCCTTTAATCCACAAACTGAAATTTAGTTGTGTGTGAGCAATCGGAATGCATTTTGGAATATGGGATATTCTTAAAAAAAATCTCTAGGCTAGCCAGTTGGGGGTGAGTATTCATTATCCCAAACATGAGTTTCAGATTTTTTGACCCAGTGACTGTTTGCTAATTCTTGTGAGCATTCTGCTCATCACTGAATTTTGTTTAGCTAATCTTTTAAAATCGGACACATACTGTGCCTTAGAGTGTGTGGATTCTTCACTATTAAGTTAGTCTAAATCAGGTGTTAAATTGTACCCTATATACTGCCTGTATGGGAATTAACTGGCACCTTGGGGCTCTGGCAGGATGTTGTTTCTTTGCTGATTGACTGTTAACAACCAGCCAGGCAAGACAAATTTTAAGGGGTCACATAATCTGGCATCCTCTGTCCTTGGCTGACAACTCCATTGTGGGATGGAGGCCAGGAGGCAAGAACCAGCCTTGCTATGCCTCTTCCCTCACTAGTGTCTCTCATCCCACAGTGGGGATGAGAGAAGGTACCAGCTCTTCTGCTGTCAGATTGTACCTTGCAGTAAACTTGAGAATGGCTGATGATTCATCAGAAACTCCTCGGGGACAACCTGGAAAAAGGTGCCTAAATTCACCAAATTTGAGCAAGAAGGAGGGAAAATACTCTTGAGGAAGAAGGGCCGGTGTTTGTTTGCCCACAGCTTCATGGGCAGGATGGGAGCTTGGGGTGGAGGTTGTGAGGGGGCTGTGCACTCCTCAGAAACGTGAACCTGGCTTGCCCTCTGCAGAAACCTGCATTGTGGCATTTTGACTTTTGTTCTGCAGATAGTTTATTTTGGTTTGGATGGCGTCTGTGTAATAAGGATGGAGTCTGTGTAATTTGGATGTCTCACTGTGTAATAAGTATCAGGACAGCAACCAGTAGGTTATGATTTTTGTATCTGGTCTCAGATAAAATTTTTAAAATTGAAATACATCCGTATAAATTTAGACTTATTTATACTGTAACATTTTAAATCATAGCAATTACTTTTTGCCATAGGCTGTTATGAGGGATAAATGGGTTCTTAAAGTGTAAAAAAAATTCAAGAAAGGAATGTCTAGCAGAATGCAATGGTCCCTAAATCAGTAGTGCTTCACAGGGACAGTGTATTTTAGGGAAGGATCACTGTATACTTGCTCAGCTTCTGATATTCTTCCTCTACTGGTCACAGCTGGAGGCAGGATACAGAGGTAATATATGTAATGTCAAACCAGTCACACATGCACCACAAAAGTATTTAGTCAACTTTGCAAGACATGCACAGATACACTTCAGTTTCTCATCATTATACATATGCAGTTCTACAATATCCTCAGTATATATGTGTTGGTTTCTCTGTGGGTGTTTAAAGATACACATACCCATGTGTATACATGTGTAATATACAGAAGTTGAAATGTGTACCCCCCCAAGGAACAGTTTGTGGAAGCTGCATCTGGATTTAATTAGTATTTTCAAGACCACTATATCTATTGAACAAATGTATTTAATCCTCCCCACACCATTACAACTGACTAGAATAGATAGACTTTTTCACAAAAATGTGTTCAATCTTCTAGAGGATCTGCTTTACATGGGGAATTTGCCATTGGCTTCGATATGAAGATGATCAGATCCTTGATGGAAATTGAACAGCAGCCCACCTTTTCAGCTGCTGTAACTGTAAACTGGGATGGCAATCTTGGCCCATCATACGTGGGAAGGTGAATGAGAGGAGGACAGTTTGTACCTTTAGAGTCTGAATGGTGTGTGATACAAATTAAAGCCACCTTTGTGGCTGCTCTCCTACGGAAAGATCGTAGGTGTCAGTGGCTTTTTAGCCATGGCACAGGTCTCCGACAACAAGTGCAGCTCTTTCCTGGCCTGCTTGCAACTGCTCTGTGCAATTATCACATCCAGTGCTTGGAGATAGGCCCTATTCAACTGGCCTCTGGAACTCCTCCCTTGGCGAGGGTCTGGGGAAGCTGGGAATGCTAGAGGCATAACGAGCCTCAGCCTCGCCAGGGACTGCTCCCAGTACACCACATCCTTCTAGGGGAGAGGGAGCATGGGAAAGCACTATGGCTTTAGGCTTTATTGGGTGTCAGGAAGGCAAGAGATTTATCTGGATTTAGGTTTTCTGTGCCCTTTGTGAGGCCAATGAATTGCCATTGCGAACACTTCTACTTCGCCACGGCAGCTCTGTCCCCCACCTTTGAGGCTGTTTTCCAGGGTTGGGTTCCCTCTAGGCATGGATCAAGGGAATGTGATTGGAGTCATTGAAAACTGCCTTCCCAGGACTTGCTATGAGATGTCAAAGGATTAGAAACCAGGTTGAAAGGAGTAAGTCCAAGTACTCCCCAAATCCTCTAACAAGGAAATTGCTGTGGTTTCCAGAATAAGCAAGTGAATGTCCAGGGATTTTCTGAGAAATAGTTCACCCTGAAAGCCTTTAGTTAGTAAACAAAACTAAAGAAAGCCTATTTAGTTTCTTTGAATCAGTATTACAGACCACCTTTATCTGGTTCTGCATTTCACACAAAGAGAAACTAAACTCCTAGGAAAACTTACTGCAGTTTACTCAGTGATGATGACAGGCAAAGGAAAGTGGAGAAGTTTCTCCCTGACTATATTTGAATTTTGCAGTAGCATAGGTCCTGTGTTAATGTTCCTCTATGAACTCATCTGATTTACTTTTTACCATGTCAAGGGGAGACTCTTGACCACTGACAACACCTCTAGATCAAAGTGAGGATTTAGTCCTTAATGAACACGACTGAAGCATTACGACACACTTAAACCATCAACAAATCAAAAGTGGCACAGTAGTCTGCTAGCATTATAATGAACAGCACTTAATATTTTTCTGTGTTAAATATTATGTGAAACTCTCATCCATTTCCACTAGGAGAGGAGAGTGTGCTGCCTCTTCTGACCCAGGAGTCTAACTCCAAAGCCCGGAGAGGTATATTAAGAAGAGCTGTCTTTTCTGAAGACCAGAGGAAAGCTTTGGAGAAAATGTTTCAGAAGCAGAAGTATATTAGTAAAACAGACAGGAAGAAACTGGCCATTAACCTGGGTCTAAAGGAGTCTCAGGTAAGGAATGACAGAACATCTGTGGCTTTCTGTCTTCTTGTGGAAAAATCTTTAAAATGTCTTTGAAGGAGGAAAACTGAACAGCACAAGGGCAGCCGTGAGCTCCTTCACTGAGCAAAGACCTCAGTAAATCAGTGGCAGTTTTAACCAAGGAGTGCTCTAACAGCTTCTTGGTTTATTTCCTGAAGGTGTACATTCAAAAGTTGATCACTCCATTTTCACACAAAGTGAGAGTAACACAACCTCTGCATTTAATTTCTGATTCCCATTTCCATGTCTGACAGAGCCCCCTCTGGAGCTTTGAGGTAGGGAAATACGCTCCATCCCACTGCCGGCTATGCAGTGATCCAGGCAGAAAACAGCAGAGCATAGAGCCTCCCTCCTGCATTCCTCTGAGCACCCTTTGCACTCGCAGATGAACAGCTAGTGACAGTGCAATCAACAGCACTTGCTCTGAAACCGTTCTGCCCCAAGAGGCAGGCAACCATCTCTACAGAAAGAAGCTTAGCTGCACAAGGAAAGAGATTCTTGGAGCTGAGGGAAACTAGAAGGAAAAATTTTGCAGGGTGACCTTCTGAAATGCTCCAACTTTACTTATCAAATCACATTTCATGGGATTTTTCACATGAGTCTGAGTTGGCCTATTGCAGGACTTCAGAGTTTAGCTGAGGGTCTAAACCTCCAGTGAACGGTTCTAACTAAACAAGCACATTAATGGTGGTGCTGAGCAGCAGTAGCCCCAATCTGGAATCTCAGGGGCCTGACCTAGCTGCAGGTAAAAACAAAGGAAAAGTGCCTGGCTTGAAGAGCACAAAACCTGAAAGAAACTGGAAAAAAATGTTTGTGATGGCATGTAACAGCAGAAAGTGAATGTCATAGCTGCTGGCAGGTGGGATTCAAAAAAGGAGGAGCAGTTGCTGTGAAGGTTACTTCTTCAATTTTCTGACCAGTTGTGCTGGAGGAACAGTACCTGCCATCTAAGACAATGATTCTCAGACCTTTGAAAGTATAGCCCCTTTGTCTACATATCAAGTATCCAAATAGTAGAACTAAATGCAAATACTTAAGGGAAAATAGAACACAATCTGTATAATTTGATTGATCCCCTCCCCATTTCTTCTCTTTATGTAAAACGAGTTCATAGATGTATATTTCCCCAAGCTTTTTCTAGCATTTCATAAATGTCTTTGAATGCTTATGATCAAGCTTTGCCACTTAAAGTTTTTGAAAAATGTATTTTATCTCAAAAGCACATGATTTCTAGGCAATCTTGGAAAACTGTAGTGAGGCAAACAAAATGTCTTTAAATCCTCACTACTATGTCATATGTCAAAACACACATTTTGAAGCTGTATGGCCAAGCTGGTTTTAGCTATGCTTGTAAATGGGACAGTCATAGTTCTTAGAGCCTCTTCTAAATAGAAGGATTCGCATTCCCAGTAATATCACTTAGTTTTGTTAATGACGATGCTAATTTACTCTGAGAATCCTTTTCTGTCTAGAAGGATGTTGCCATAGGAAATTGCTCTATTACTAGCCACTGAGCTGTCCTTTTTCCAGTCTAAGCCCAATAATTGCCAGTTTGAGGTGGTGAAAGTCAAGAATAGTATTTGGCCCAGCTATAGCAAATAGTGATGGGAAAATCCTCAGATAATGTCAGTCAGCTTCACTGAATCTACTATAACGACGAATAAGGAACAAATATGAAACTAAGGGAATGGAAAGAAAAAAACCTTGTTAGGGCAAAGTTGCTTAAAGGAAAGAATGATAATAAACTCTCACTAACTTGCAAACAGGTGAAAATTTGGTTTCAGAATCGAAGGATGAAATGGCGAAACTCCAAAGAAAAAGAAGTGCTTTCAAACAGGTGCCTCCAAGAAGAAGGTCTTCAGGAGAACTACCTCTCACAATCCACCATGAATTTTACCTCCCCGTGCCCATCTATGTGGGAGGTGTCTCAGGAGCAGGCAAGTCCAAGGTGGAGGGAGAATTCTCCAGGAAATTCTGAAAGACTGACCAGTACACAACCACCTCCAAGAGCAAATTCACTGCAGAACCCACTGTACTTGTATCCTGACCAAGATACTGCAAATAAGGCAGTTCCATCATCAGCATAAGGAAATAGGGGCAGTTTGTAAATTGAGTGGAGAGCACAGGCTTCAAACAAGCAGTCTTCTAAGACTAACAATATTTGGACATTGTAAAGCTAACTAGTTTATGCCTCATAAATTTGCTAAAGTCTAACACCATTAAAATGACAAACAACTAATGATTTTAAACGTATTCTTCAATACTCGGTCTTTTCTTGTGTCTTTTCCAGTCTTGTACTGACCTTAAAAGTGAAATAGGAACTGATGGTAAGTAAAATGAAGTGAAGAGCCTGAAGCTGAAGTTGTGCTCTGATTTATACATCTGTATACGATATTCATTAAAAATACACTGATAGAGAATCACTTTTATCTCTCATTGTGATCAGACCAATTAATTTCTTTTGTGTATGAGATAAGAACAAGCCTCTTTCCCTCAAGATAGTTGCTTTGGGTTCTTTTTGAAATTCATTAAATGACACAATAGGTTCATATTAGACAAACGTAAGCGTTTTTAGTGTATTTTCTTCATCTGTCCTCACCTATATCCGTATTCAGTTAGTTTTAAATAACATGGTCACGGGTCAGCTGATAAACCTGGTAAAGTATGCAATACTAAAAGACAACCAGCCAGCTCTATAAAATATTCTGTGTTTAAATCACTTTGATGTGAATGTGTACCTGGAAACGCAATTCACTAACTCCTGTCTTTTCTCCTGTGGATGAACCTTCCAGCATTCTTAACTCTGAATTTCAGTGGCTTTTGTCAGACTGTTAGTGCAATCTCTAGTAATCTGTTCTGTATTTCAAAACTGTAATGGCAATATGCAGAATTTTAGCCCAAATGCACTAAGCAACAGAACTATAATTGGAAAAACTGCCACCGCAGCCATCTCAGAGAAGTACTCAAGGAGATGGCATACCATAGTAGCCTTACTCCTCACTTATCCTATTTAAACCAGTGCCAATAAGATCACATTAGCATATGTCTGTATCAACGACAGGTCAGTATTCTGTGTGATACCAGTAGCCTCAAATAATAATATTAAAACTACTTTACTTAATATTATTTGCTTGCTTCATCCACTTCAAGGAAATCTCTCTATGAATTTAAGTATAATTTTTTGTTTATTTGCAAGGCTTTATAGCTTAAAATGGGAGCAGAACTGTTTTTTCTTTATCATACATTTATGAATTCATTTGTTGAGAAGAAAGACTAAAGGTATTTTATGTTACAGTCGAAACCTTTTGGAGAACATGATGATGTTATGGAGACTACTTCATTTCTGGCAGATTCATATATTTTACAGTGAAAAGAGATGATTATGATAATCTAGTCTGTCTTTGCTCATCTTGCATGCCATGAATGTTTATAATTATTCTTACCTTGAGCTCCAGAGCTTTTTGAACTGCATTGTACTATTTCCAAAAGCCATACAATTGTTACTGAGCATTTTACTTTTTGGTGGATGATCTACTATTCTCCTGGTTACATTGTATTAACTGGGAGGTGAAGTTTAGATACATTTGCAGCTAAAAAACTTGAGATTATAGTGATGAAGCTCGTATCATAAACTTGCTGCATGGTCAGGTGAGTTTTGTATCCCACCTTGAGCACATCCTGCTTTCTAAGTGGTCAGCTGTGCAGTCCTAGTCTTGCACTATATGTCATTCTTTGCATGTGATTTCCTATGCGTGTTTTAAAGAAAAAAGAAATTACAGAAAAATTAAGAAATCATCTTTCCCTGTGGTTACAAACCCTCTCTAGTGTAAGCTGCCTGGATACCTACCCTCAGAAGGCACTTTGAACACTGTTGCAGTTGAAATCCAAGAACAAGCTCATATTCTGCCTAAAGCCTTTAGGGGTGGCCAGACAGATTGCATACACGTGGGGATGAATGTACTGTCCAGTTGTCCTGTTGAAGTCATAGTCCTGTCCCGTTTAACTAACTTCTCCTTGAGGGACCAGCAAGTGTTGGTGACCCAGATTCTTCTCAAATGGCATTTGTTAGCGTCTGCCGATGAGGACAGGCATGCAGGTATTTCCAAATTACCATCAAATGATCAAGTGAAGGCAGATGTGCCGGGAGGTATTCATCAGTGCTTCCCGTTTTGGAGGAAATCAGTGGATTTTGGGGGTGACTGGGGTTTTCCCATCTTGCCTTTCAGGGGAAGGGAGTCTTCACAGCTGCTCGCATTCTTTTACTGCAAGTCAATCGAGGCTCAGTGCTAGAAGCAACACTTCTGGAGAGGGGAGATGGGATCCAGAGTGCTCCCTGGGAAACTCTTCCAGATGATGGTGTTGCAAGCACCGAATGTGAACTGCTGTCAAAACTCTGAGCTGATGTGCTAAACAGGATACATCTGAAAGATGTCTCATTGAGGCAGAGATCAAGCAAGGCTCATGGCGGAATTGGTTTCACAGTTATAATGTTATATGTGTTTTAAATTGAGCAAGTTCTGGTTTCACTGTAGCCTATTAAAACTAACACCATTTCACAGCCTTCCAAATCTCTTAACACCTCCTACCAGTATTCTTATTCCACGGCTTAGAATAAAGTTTCAGCGTGCCAGATAAAACATTCTTTACTTGAAAATGCTGATCAAGCTTTCTTAAAAACCCTAAAAGTATACATGTGAATTTTGAATTATGCCAAAAATAGTCTGATTCTATTAGTCAAAATGGATTTAGGCCCATGACACATACAACCTTGATTCCTCTAATTTCAAACTACTTAAAGGAGAAGTTTCCCTTCCGTCTATGCCGTGAAAACTTGGTAAATGAGAAACAGCAACCAGTATGAATGAAAATATGTATTTACAGTGCCAGTCTTTTCTGTGTGAAGGATCGAGTGGTAAGTATTCATTTTCTTCAAATAAGGTATGCACACTAGTTATGAAAGAACAAAGAGAGCACAAATTATACGCAAAATCCCCAGCAGATGTTTGAAGTGCTTTGTTCCCGGCACACTGCAGAGGTGTAAGGGGTAGAATGCGTCTGGTACTACGGAGTGACGTGGTAGATACTGAGGGCACCTCACAGTTAAAACCAGCAACATAATACTTTGGCTTCAGGGATGTGACCTAGTGGATGACCCTGCAGCCTGGCTGTAGGATGCCTGGGGTATTGCCTGTGTGTGGCGCGTAGAGCCTATAGTTCCAGGCTGTAGAGTATTAGGAAGGCCGTTCGTTGGGCTCCTGGGGCTGGGGAGAGTTCAGGGACCTCAAATTGCGAACTGCAGTTAAAAAACTCAACTCTTCAGAGGCCACAAACAAAGCAGACACTTGTACTCGCTGGGCACCTCTCTGTTTAGTCTGGCAGCTTACCAATGCTAAGGTAACACAGAATACAACAGGGAAAGGGAGGGAGGGCTGAGGCTCAGTACTGGCTTTGTCACCCGAGCCGCAGGCTCCCGTGCCCTCGGGCGGTGCTGCTGACACCGGGGTCCTGCTGCCCAGCCCTGCAGCCTCAGGAACAGGAGAGGCTTTTCTCACCCCGCCTGTTGGAGATCCTCCAGACAGGTCTGAATGCGGATCCTGAAAGTCTATTCTTAAGGTCAAGCTCTCAAAGGAGCTTTTCTGATACCCGACAAGAAGGTGCCGTTTTCCTTTTCTAGGTCTGGCTCTTGGTTTTTTAAAAGGTATCACAAATGATGCAGGTGATGCCAGTCTACGTCAGGCACAGTCACGTTTTACTGCGTGTAAACAACTGTTAAGACTGCGAACATGGGAGACCAGCTAGCTCCTCCATGGACCTCATATAACATTGCTAACAGCTGGATTTGCTGACCACACCTGTGTCGGCACTTACACTTTTGTTGTACAGATTTATAGTATGAAATAATTTTCTAAAAGGTCTCTTGTTTTTATTGATTCTTTGCCAAACAGGAATTAATTGTTATGATCTGCTGAGGAGAACGGGACTGCTTTAAGGCACAGAACTGCATTACTAACTTCAGTGTCAGAACAATAATAAAACGGTCAAATGTCACTCCCGAGCTGCAGTAATACATCAGATTTGTTTTATCTGCTGTGATTTACTAGTACAGGGTTTTAAATACCGGTTGCCATCACTGTAGCCACACAGTTCTTCTGATGAATATATGTTCCACAGTCAAAAGAATGACATAAATTAAGTACATTCACATGCTTCAACACCCTCTACCAACAAGACCGTTACTGATTTTCATGAACCAGAAGGAAAGACAAACCAATTTCAAGCAAATGAGCTGTAAATTCAGTGCCTCAAGAAAGGACTGGAGAGGAATTAAGGTCCAATTAGCTTAGCTTAGCTTTGGGGGCTATGGGAGGACCGAAAAGTCCCTGCAGAGAAAGGTTCACAGTGGATGGAATTGCTGTGGACAGTAGGGCTCTGGTGACCGTGCTGCTAAGCTGTGTGCCTGATGGCTGCTGGGGGGTAAGATAAACGGGGGTACATAAACCCGGATCTGCGGTGCTCCCCATGTGGGCTTGCACATAAATTAGTGGCCAGAAAATGGTAACTCCCACTCCTTGGTTTTCTGTAGATTCTGCCTGCAATTCTAAGCAGTGCAGCTGGGCATGGTGGACGGGGATGTCACAAGGCAGCATCTGAACAGCGATCCTCCAGTACGCACCCAAACAGCCAGAAATCTCACTGTTTATAAACATCCAGCCCTTGAGGAATTCTTCCGTTGTTCCAAGTCATTTTCTTCTTTGCATGTCAACATTTGAATGTAATACAAGGTAGCTAAATCAATGCGTGTCGTTCAAAGAAGACTTTCTGTTTGTTTCTGCTTTGCTATCATATGGTTTTAGATAAGAGTTAAACGACAAGTGACATCTGTCACTTAAGCTATCATGCAAACATCAGCACATGTCAGATTCAGTCTGAATTTGAGATACACTATCAAAACCATTGAGCACATTTTGAAAGGAACAAAATTAATTTTTAGTCATGGAGAGTCTCTGTCATATCCTTCATTATTCTGAAAAAATGGAAAAGTTATGATGAGGAAACCTTTAATGTGCAAAAGCAACTTCTAATAACTGAAAAAAATTAATTGGACTATACCAATGTCTGGGGTTATCCTGCAATGTTTCATGGAATAAGGTCTGAAGACCAATGGAGATATTTTTAATTTTTAAATTTATTTGACTGACAAGGAAAGTTAATGGAAATGTGTTGTTCCACCAAGAGAAATTACACCATGACTTACCTATAACACACATTGTTACAGGTTGTTGCACATGAGTCTAGCACGTAACTGGAAGCCAATCCCGATTCTCTAATTTTCCACTAATTTGCAAAGTTGCTTCTAGGTTAATACTCTCAGATGCAAATGGTGCATTCTCAAACACCAAAGCATTTGATTGTAGTGCACAATTTTACATTCTCAACTATTCCTAACTATTTTTGCCGCTATCTTGGAGAGAAATCACACAGGAGATGAAGTATTCCCCAGTGTACCAAGCAACCATTACTGGTATTTCTGTTTGAGGGGTCAGTGGCCACAGAGAAGACCAGGCCCTTTTCAGCTGCCTGCTCAGTTGTTTTCTCAATCAAAAGAGGAAGCAAGGCGATGCTGGTAATATAAGAAAGCTTTTGTTTTACCAACACACCTTGCTCCAGCCGAAGGCAAGTCTGGAAGTGTAACGCTAATGAGTATGAATGACTGTGGGTAATACTTGGGTGCAGTGTTGTTCCTCCTGTGGCAACCCGCTTACGCATTTTCTCTATTTTTGCATTTCTCTGCAGCAAAACCTTCCCAGGGTTTTGCTTTTCGAAGGAGATGAGAGTTACTTTTACGATCTGCTCCATTTGCAAGACCTTTCCCGCCTGACCCTCACCCGCGACACAAGCCGGCGTGTCTTCCCAGCTGTGGAAGTTCCGAGTAGCCATTACAATTGATTTCCGAGTCACCTCGCAACTCACTCGGAGAGCCACCAAGCTCCCCACCCGCGGGGCCACGGCCACCTCCCACCTTGGGGGGGGGTGGGGGGGGGGGACATGGCCACCACCCACCCGTGGGGCCATGGCCTCCATGCCGTGCCGGGAGGCAGAGGCATCGGCATCCCACCTCTGTTCTCCTTCGGGAAGGCGCACTGCCCGGCTTCAGCACCTCAAGGACAGCAAGAACCCCTGGCTGGCGCAGGGGACGAGCCATGCCGGCACACTGCTGTGCCCTGGGGCTGCCATAGGTGCTCTAGCTGTTAATTGCTACATCACCTTCTGTGATTGCGAATAGCTGGAGGCAGAGAGGGCATCCCTCTCTGGTTCTGTCTCTTTGCCCCGAGGAGCCTTCCTTCGCTCTTTTCGGAGCTGGGTTTTATTCCCGGAATTTCTTCAAAATTTGCACGTGAGCACTGCTATTCCGTTATGTGTCTGTAGTGTCTTACTGCCTAAGGAATTGCAGCTAGTAACTTCTTCAGGGCAGGCACTATATAACCCCTTGCATTTCTACCATACCTGTCACAGCAGGGGACCAGATGTGAATTGTCAGCACACACAGCTTCTAGCTGAGAAAGCGCATCAGCTGTCTACTACATAGTAGATATGTGAGGATATCAGCGGTTAAGGAGGTGTAACTGAAAAGGTTGTTCCTCTGTTCTGCATAAATACTTCTTTTAAATGTTTTCCTGATGAGTTTCTCGACCCCCAATCCAGTATCATTATTAAATAATCATCATCATTTTCCTCTCCATTCTTGGCAGCCTGAGCTCCAGCTACTGTCAACAAGATCAGGGGAGGCCAAAAAAAAAACAACCCAACATTCAGGGATGAAGTACTCAAGAATATTAAAGAAAAATCCATGTTGATTATAAATGCCTGTTCAAAATGCTCATTTAGGATCTAAATGCAAAGATGTTTTGTTTTATAAACACCCATCAGCACCACCCCACTGCTAGGAAAAGGTGACTGCTATAAAATACCTGACAGCTTTCAGATTTTTCTGTGCTAGGGAGTTTTTTGTCATTACTGTAAAACCCAGTCCCTGTGTCAGCACGTGTTATGGCAAAGAGCCTTACTGCCACATGAGCCATGCCCAGCCCTCAGACTGAAGTGGTATTTGGACCAGAATTCTGACTCACCTTTCATACAGAAACTTTTTTTTCAGGAGTTTCCGCTGAAATCACCGAAGCCATTACAGCTATAAAAGAGCATTCAAAATGAATAAAAGTGCTAAGAACTAGATCTTACAGGGGGACATGTGAAGGCCCATGGAAATTAGTAAGAAGCATGATGTGAACATAAAAGTCTACCGTGGGCCCTACAGTTACATGAACTGATTGACAGCAATACCACTCTTCAGTGTTGAGTAAAATTCTGCAGGCATGTATGTTTGTAGAAATGGGGGGGAAAGTTTGTTCATTTGTTTGGGGTTTTTTACATAAAAATACACTTTATTGGTAGTATATATGTGTATTTGTACCAAAGTTTAAAAAGCTGAATTTCACTTGCAACTATCAATATATCTAAACTGTGTGAATAAGCCATAATTCAGTCTGTCACAGTGTAATGTGCAAGGATATTTATTTATATATTGCTAAAGTACTCCTTTTTATCTGGTGCATTAACTTACATACACACATGATGCTTTATTTAATATTTTATCTGCATAGGTCAACTGTGTCAAGTAGCTGCCAAAGAATTTCAAGACCACATTCCTATTAAAATTACTGTAAATGTGATAATTTTAAAATTCTATTTTTTTTTTCATGTTTATAAAGAACTTGCTGAAGACTACTTGTCAAGACATTACAACTCAACAACTATTTTCTGGCATAATCCTACATTTAAGAATTTTTAAGTAGCTTTGTACTTTATTGGGGTCTCTCCTGAAACAGTGAATGAAGTCACAGTCACTCATGTTTGCTTCATTACTAATTGATAAGGCAGTGGCTTCACATGATGCCATTCCATTTAATGAATTGCTGATGATCCCCATTGACTGCATCTGGATTGAAAATGGGAAAAAAAGTACAACTCCTAACTACACATACAACAGATCTTTAAAATACTAGTTGCAGAAGTCAACCGAGGCATCACTATGTTGGGCTGTTTGACTCCAGACCTCTCACATACTTACTGAAGATATACGTAAAGCTCCTTACATAGAATAACATTGTCTTTTTATCATGATGGTATTGATACAACCTTTAGACTAGCCTGAAATGATCCGATACACTAGCAATGCAAGAGTAGCAGGGTATAACCCCATCTAAGTAGAGGAACCCCTGATTGGTAATCATTATTTCCTCTTGAAGTAATACAGCAAATCAGTCTTGATATTTTTGTAGCCATTTATTTTAAAGACTTTTGTGAAGGGAAGTTTTTACTTGAGCGTTCCCCAGCGCTATTTAACCTGGTGAACTCTGCAGACAGTTACCACCTCCCAGAGTAGGATCTTCACAACAGAACCAGGCTTAGAATTAGTGTCTTACAGTTGCAAAATATTGGAATGCATCTGCATTGTTTGCTTCATTTTTTAAATTATATTTCTACCTTGTGGTATGCCCATAGTACAGAGAGGTCAAAACTTCAAAGCTTTCCTTTCTAGTAATTCCTTCAAAAGTGTTTTAGAGAGATAAAATCAGGTAAATATACCAGAAGTGTGTAGGTAGTTTAGAGTTTGATGGTTTGCTTCAGTCACAGAATGAAGCAAAGGTCAAGCTTTGAGGCTGAATACCTCTGAACTTTAAGGCCATTTTAACACAGAACTGCGGCTGCACATCGAAGATGGACTTTTCATTTTTAACTCTGAGTCACCCTAATCAGGGCTGCATTTTAGAGCAGGGTGCAATTCCTCCTGTTCTAGTGATGAGCTGCTTATAACTTTAAAGCTTGTATTCCTCACCTGTGTTCATAAAGCTGAAAGGTGATCTACAAGTGCAAGATATTAGTTCATTATGAACTTTTTAGTGAAACAGACATCTTGGCAGTGTAGCCATTTCAGAGGATGGACACGCAGCCCTCATTTGTTCAGCCAAAACTACAAATAAGTTTAGATATGAATGCACAAGAAATACAAAGATCAGGACTTCTAGCTAGTAATGAGAAGACAGAAATGGAAATAATTAAAAATTACATCCATTCATTTATATATGATCTGCCAGAATTTGGAATGGAGTTTTGAAATTGTTTTGTGACTGGCATCTGACTTAAGCAATATCACTGTTGTCTTGAAGAACTTATCCCAGCATAAAACTGTTGCCTTAGGAAGGAGCTCTTGGCAGCAGACAACAGTGATGTTTGAATTACTTAGAATGTAAATCCAAATGAGACTGAAACCAATAATTAAGTTTGTCACAGTCTACCCACATCTCCTCTACTGCCCTAGAAGAGCCAAGTAATTACTGGCTCATATATGAAACTGTAAATGGCTCTAGTCTTTGTACTTGTGTCTTTCATATATTTCATATTAATAAACTACTGCTCTACACATATGGACATATCTAAAGTCATCTAGGTATCTGCCAATCCATAAATTAAGTCACATCATTGGACTGAAAAATTCCTCTGTCTGTAACAAAGTCCAGCATTGCTGGATCAGAGCCTCTCTTGGCATTAAGGCTACAGCCCAAGTGAGAGCAGACGTTGCTCCCACAGAGTCACTCTCACCACATGACTGGCATAAATAAAAGCTTGCCTTTTCTGTTACTTTCTCAACTCCAGTCTTCAGCTCATGTACCATATTGCTGATTTGCTTCGCTTTGCTAAGGCTGTCATCAGGTAGCTCTTGATGGTGTTCAATATGCTGGTTAAAGGGGGAAAGTGGTTCTTTCCAGGCTTGCAAAAGTTTCAGTATCAGGTGAGTTAGTTCTTCTCTCTTACAAATTAAAACAGTAAAGAATTTCTTTGTTAGTTTGCAGGAGGTCATAAAACACTGTTAGACAGTCTCACTGTGAATTCACAGTGGGATTAAGATTTACATCTGCAATTCAATAGCTTTCAAATATTCAGAATTTAAGGGCCACTTTGTCTCTGGTTATTTGCTTATATATAAGCAACACCCAGAAGTTGTATTTGTCTTGTTTTCAGCTTTCTCAGACTCCTAAACTCTGCAATACCTAAAACTGTGAATAACAGCATTAGCAAAATGGTGGTGTTCCCGTCAAATTTACTCGGTACTGAAGAAGTTTTCAGGAACTCCTAGATGTCTCAAGAGCCCAAGAAGCCTCATCTAGACATCTTTGTTTGCTGGTACGGAAGTGCAGGTGTTTCCTCACACCTGCTGTGGTCGTAGCTGTGTGGGTTAGAGGTTTGCTGCAGACACACTTCCCGGAAGATGCCCGGGGGTCGGGACAGTTGCTTCTCTAACAGAAACTCAGTGTCCCCAAACCCTCTCTTGCAATACAAGTTCAGAAGCAAGGCTGACTGGTTAAAGCTTCCTAAAGCAGGCAGGGCCTCACTGCCCATTGCCCTTCCAGGGGAGCTTCCAGAGGTCTTGGGGGAAGCTCCTCACTCCATCACAGCCTAAGAGCAAAACGTTAACATTTGTCTCCATCTGTCTCCTAGAGGCAGAATGTTTGCTGCTGCTGTGTTGTCGACTTTACAATCTGCTTTTTCTGTCTAAAGAAACTCTTCCTGCTCTTCTCTAAACTAATAATGATTTTTTTTTGCCTCTGACATTACATCTGTCTAAAACAATTTGCTGTTCTTTTCCCCTTACCTAACTACCGATTCAGAGATAATGGCTCTTATTTCTTTCTCCTGATTGCTTTCTGTACTTTGCAGCGACACTGATTAATTTAACTTATCTGTCACATGCACAGTTTTCTAAGTTTCTGTTCCACAGAGACTGCCACAACAAAATCAAAGGGGTGTCTGCCTGTTGGTCATTTGGACAAAATACTACTGCAATACCCGTATTATAACTAATAAATGTGATCTGAGCCTATGTAACTATATACAGTGTTTAAAATACAACAACCTAATGCTTCATATGCAATACCTCTGTCATGTGCACCTGTTTGGGGCCAAAACTTACCAGTTTCTTCAACTGAAGCTGTTGATAAAGCACCAAAGGCATAAAAACCTCTTTGCCTATCTCCAGCTCGAGCGGGGTGGGGGACCCCGGCAGCGTGAGGGGTGACACAGCTGGGGTCTCTGAGGGGACGGGGGGTATTTTCCCCTTTCTTGAGGGGGGAGAAAGGACGCGATGTGACCCGGGGAGCCCCCTCCCAGCCCCCCAACCCCTCGGGTGTCCGCGGTACCCCCCGCCCGCCCTGCCTCCGCCCGCCGCCGCCGTTCCCCCTTACCGGAATTTTTTTGGGGCGTATTCTTTGCCGTTGGGGGGGGGGGGGGGTCAGCATCCCCGACGTGTGGCACTTCCGAGCGGGCTTCCCCAGCTCATTGTCACGGGGAGGAACGCGTTTTTCCTATGGGGGAGAAAAACCTAAAGAGGCACCGAGAGCAGCTCCCCCCCCCCCCCCCCCCCCCCCGCCCCGCCGACAGCCGCTCCCGGGGCGGCGGGGCCGGGCCGGGCCTCACCAGCTCGGCTCAGAGCACCGTCGAGAGGCTGCGGGTCCTGCCCGAGTGCCGGATAACCCGCTCGACGAGACCTGCCACGGTCAGGGGGCGGCAGCCGGCGCCCCCCGGGGCGCAGCCCAGCAGCCCCGGTAGCCCCAGCGCCGCGGCGGCACCCGCGGAGAGCCCGGCGGGGTCGGGGGGGCGCGGAGCTTGAGGGAGGGAGCCCGGTCCTCTCCGCGCCCCTCCGCCCCGCTCCGCGCCCCGCCGCCCGGGCGAGGGCCGTGCCCCCCCCCCGGAGCCCGCTGCGGAGCGGAGCGGCCAGAACCGAGCGGCGCCGGCGTTGCCCCCCCCTCCCCCGCGTCCCCTCAACATGCCGGGTGGGGACGTGCGTGGCGTGGCGGGGATCTCCCGGCCGTGACGGGTTCCCCCCTGACGTGCGCAGCCCGCGGGCACCGTGAGAAAAGGCGCCCGGCTCGGGCGGAGGGCGGGAGAGTTCCCCGCAGCACCCTCCGCCCCCGGTAACCCCCCAGGATCCAGCAGAAGTGGGTGTCCCGGGCTCTGTGGTGGGGATGCTGCGGACCCCAGCCGGGCCAGGGCTGCCCCGGTGTCGGTGTCACAGCCCCCCCTTCCCTTCGTGGGCAGGGCGGGGGGCGGCTCCTGCGCCCGCACAGGAGTGGCGTGGCCAGGTCTGTGCCAGCACGTCCACTGCAGTCGGGGGTGTGTGTGTGTGTGTGTGGGGGGGGGGGGGGGGGTAAGGGTGTGAGAACGGAGACCAGGCAAATAAACTGCTCCTTTCAGCGATAAGGGGGGGTTTATACACAGACAGCAATGAAGGGTGGGAGAGAAGTCTGGCCTCATGACATCCATCTCTTAACCATCTCTTCTAATCACACGGTTGAGATCAGATCCGCTTTCCCTGCTCCCTTGCAGGCGGTCAGAGGTGGGTAAAACCGCTGAAGGTGCGATTGCTGGTGACTGCACGCTTGGTGGTGCAAGCGTGCCTGAAGACGGTTGGTGATGTCCCATGTGGCTCAAAGGTTAAGGGAGTAACACAGCAAAGTGCTCCGATCAGAATCCCCCAAGGGGTGCAAGTCCTATGGCCTCAGTTGCTGCTCTCAGTTTCTGGGCATGAGATCCTGAGCAGCCCTGCAAGGGAAGCTGAGATGCTTGTCATGAGGCTCACGACTGCAGAGCTGCTTCAAGCTGACCAACGGGGGAACCTGGGCACTGGGTCTTACTGCTGTGTTTTCTGGGTTTTGGCACCCTACGGCTTTGAAATCCAATGGGAAAAGCTCAGGGGCTGCTAAAGCTGGAATCAGACACCTTCTCTGCCTGTGGGTATGCAAGCTGAGGTTGGCCGGGGGACTGCTGTCAGCGGTTGCTCTTGTGACGGGGAGAATGAGTCAGCTCTGCCCTTCTTGTGGAAGTTTTTCACTGCCAAGGGAGCAGCCCGCTTAGGAATGAGGATACATCTGATGTGACATTGTCATCTACGTGACATTGTCATCTTTCCTCTGTGACTGCCCCAGACACTATGCTATAGCCATGTATTCGTTTTCTAGCTGCTGAATCCCAATTTCCTTTATGGAAAATGGAAGGACCATACCTCCACTAGAATGATGAACATCCCTCTCCCCCACCTCTTAAGGACAGCTGGGTGGCTAATGCGAAAGGATTCACATTTTGAAAATAAGAGCTTCTCCAAGGAGTTGGGTGTCAGTTCCTAGGATCTGAGTAGGTGTCTGCATGGCTATCCACTGAACACTGAAGCCTGTCAAAGCCGACACATTTTGAGACGTGCACAGGTTCAAAATATTGAGAGGTGAAGACCAGTAGTGCCAGCAGAAGTCACTCTGAAGTAGGGCTTGTTGTTTGCTTGCTTGTGCTCTCTGCCTGGGTTCTGTTTTCCTTGTTTACATCTGTTTAAGGGTTTGGCTCTTTGTTAACAAGAGAGATTTTTAAGTAGGAAAAAAAAGACAATTTCCTTTTGCCCAAAGGAAGGTTGAAAATATAGCACACAAGAAGGAATTCAGATGTTTTTCTCACACAATCTACATTTCCTTCTTTCATACAGACATCTCAAAGGAAGATTATTTCTCTCTGAGAGCTATCCACAGATCACGTGTCCTTCCAGGGAACTTGTCTTGCTATGATGTACGCTGAGCTAGCTAGATTTGATTTAGTTAAGTGACTGCAATCTGCAAAAAGAATTTACTTTTTTTCTTGACAGAGGTGGATCCATACAAGCAAATACTAGAAATCTCACTACTGGACTAGTCCACATGCTCCTTAGCTTCTACCAGCAACGCAGCTTAGCCAGCCCTTCAAACCAATACATCTCTGAACCCAGCAGACCAAACTTGCTTGTCTAAAATTCCCCAAAGTCACTTCAGAAGGTCAATAGTGCAATGGGTCCGTAAGACAATTTTTATCCCTCATTTTTTGTAATTTCTAAAATGTTTTAAAAGCAGTTCATGAAGATATGCTTAATGATCTACACTATTCAGCAGAGGTTGTTCTCATTCTTTTACCTCTGCTTTATCTCTAATGAATAAAACAATGCAGTTAATTTCAGTGGTTAGAACTGCTGAGCCACTTCTTAATGGGGATCATACAGTAAGCCTTGGCAATAGCTCTGATTTGGTAGCTGGTTTGGTAGCTGATAAAATACTTCTGGCTTGTGGTCCAGCTGAAGGCTTGGAATATTAGTATTGTTTCTGATAACTATCAGAAAATGAGCAATCATGCATATGACAGGATCTGAAAAACATTGGTAGTGTGCATATGGGAAGCACATGGATCAGTGACTTATTTTTATTGGCCAATAGCCACTTTCTTTTGGTTTTCATGTGTCTTGAAGAAATCCTGACATATGCAAATCTTATCCTAGAAAGGGTTCCTTAAAATGTTAAGACAATTTTTGAGTTTTGAAGGTGCTGTGAACTTGCACATGGAAATGACTTGCACAGCAAAAAATGCAGTACAGCTTAGAGGAAAGAATCCACAGTAAATTATGAAGGGTTTTTTTAAGGTTTCAGTTTCTAAAATGAACCATGTTTTCTTAATGAAAGATGTATCAACACTTAAGAATTGTTTTTCCTGGCTCTTCACTCATATTTTAAGTCTGTAGATGACACCAAACTGGAAGAAGTCATTTGCATTTCAAAATTCGAGATGATCTTGACAATTAGAGAAAGGGCTGAAGAAAGTAGGGTACAGATCAGTAAAGAAAAATGTGAAGTATTATGCTTAGACGGGAGCTTAGACTGCCCAAATACAGAACAAGGCAGCAGTCAAACAGAAGGGGGATCATAGCTTGTACAAAATAACAAGCTGAACCTAAGTCAGTAGTATCTTACCATTGCTTTGTGCTGTTTATGTATTTGTTTGTTTTCCAGTCTGAGGTATGTCCTTTGAAATAATGTCTGTGAGACATGCAAAAGAGTTCTTCTGCCATACCTTGTGTTTGTAAGACCTCTGCTAGAGTACCTTGTTCAGTGTTGGACACCCCGTTTCAAGAGAGACATGAGCCAGATAGAAAGACCCCAGAGGAGAAAAGCAAGAGTGATCAGAAGTTGAAAAACCCCATGGCCTATGAGGAAAGACTGAAGGAAGTGGGTTTGTTTACTCTCTAGCAGGGAAAGATGAGGCAAAGATATAGTTTTTAGATGTGCAGAAGGTAGCAGCAAAGAGGAAGGGAATCAATTATTCACCACATTCACTATGGATATAAGATATAATGGGATTAAACTGCAATAAGGGAGATTTAAATTAGACATTAGAAAGAACTTCTTAATGCTTAGGAGAGTAAAGGACTGGAACAGATTGCTCAGGGACACCATGAAAGCTCCATCATTATCTAGCCTTTCTTATAAACTTTCAAACAATTCTCATATAGTCAGCAGTGGTGTTCATCCTGCCGTGGTCAGGAGGGTGTGTGGGCAACATCAGACCTCTCCCCCTTCCAGCCTGCCAATCTTTTATAGTGCAAGACCAACCAGAGTTCATTATATATTCAAAATCTCTCTCAAATTTAGATCATGAAGGAGTAACAGCTGAAATGAAAAGGTTTGTTTCAACCAAATACTGCCCACTATTGATTTGCCCTTTTCCTATAGCATAGGAACAGGCACATTTTACAGCTCAAAAAGGGACAAGTCACACAGTTTTGCTATGAAAGCTGATAATACAAGCTCTTGATTAAAACAATATGGAAATGATGTAACACGGATCTTAAAAGTGAAATGAGAAAAGAGTTGACCACCCACTTAAAGGAGTCAAACATTTTCTGAAGGCTGGATCTCAGATCTATGTTTTTTCTTATTTCTGTAAACAAAATGGCATACTTCTGCTTTTACCTCTTCATGTAGAAGTGTTTGGCTTTTCTCTCCTCAATTGTAACTTGTCTGCTCTTCTCTCTCTCCTCTCATGAAAAGAGCTGTGCCCAATTCAGTGTCTCCCACCTTGCATTCATATGCTAATTACTAAATTTACTGGTTTTGTCTTGATTTGGGTTGCTTTTGACTGTCGCAGTCTTGAAAATCCAAACATAGACAATACAAGGTAAGCAAGAACAGATAGTATTTTTCACTGGATCGATTGATATAGCTGGAAAAAATGGAAACAAGCTTTTGGGCAAACATGAACTTTTTCAGAGTGAGTCTGAAAAATCGTCTGTACAACTATCCATTTTTAAAAAATGAATTGTTAGGAAACCTCATCTTGGTCTTGGTTGTATCTTTATTGCCTTTATACCTTTCTTCTTCTCCTTCCTCTCGCTCATCACACTATAAACCTTCTTTAGTCCCCTCATCTTAAAACAACAGTCCTGAACTCCATTTGTCTCTCTGGGCAAAATCCTTCCCCGTGCTCTATCTCTTTTAATAACTCGTCACTCACTGAGAAGTTGTTTATTTTCATCAGACAGGTTTCTCCCTTTTATGCTCTTTTCAGTCATGTTTCTCTGTTTTGATCTTCACTGAATCTGCTCTTGTTTATATCTATAATGACTTTTTATAATCAAAGCTCTCCATTGGCATCTCCTTTAAAGCCTCCTGCTTTCCTTGTCGTCTCTTGGCTTCTACAACTATACCCTTTACTGTTTCTCCTGCTGCTTCTCTGATGTCTTACACAGAGAACCCTCCCCATCTCTTCTCCAGTTTTATGTGAAGGCTTTACAGGAGTCTGTCTCTCATTTTACACTCTCATCGGCAAAAGCAAAAATTCAGATACTGCTTCTTACTGTCACTTGGAGGCCTGCCTTCCTGCTCCATATTGGTCTCCTTATGTTGAAACAGAAATCTCAGATTGCCTCTCCAACATGTGCTTTTGGGTGTTTGGCTTTCAGCTCAAATGTAAAAGAGCTAAAGGAAACCATAGCTCCTCTTTTTTTTTTTTTTTTTTTTTTTTTTTGTCCTCTCCTCTCCTCTCCTCTCCTCTCCTCTCCTCTCCTCTCCTCTCCTCTCCTCTCCTCTCCTCTCCTCTCCTCTCCTCTCCTCTCCTCTCCTCTCCTCTCCTCTCCTCTCCTCTCCTCTCCTCTCCTCTCCTCTCCTCTCCTCTCCTCTCCTCTCCTCTCC